TCATAATCCAGAGTTTTGAGAAGATTGGAGAAACTTAATTTTTCGCCCGAAAAATGAAAAAAAACGAAAGGGGTAACACTGTCGTTTTTTTTCGGGTCGAAATTTTGAATTTGATATCTCAGCTCTGGAAGGGTCTAGAGCCTCCATTTTTGCACTCAGGTCAAAGTCTCACAGCCCTCTATCATAATCCAGAGTTTTGAGAAGATTGGAGAAACTTAATTTTTCGCCCAAAATGAAAAAAAACGAAAGGGGTAACACTGTCGTTTTTTTTCGGGTCGAAATTTTGAATTTTGATATCTCAGCTCTGGAAGGGTCTAGAGCCTCCATTTTTGCACTCAGGTCAAAGTCTCACAGCCCTCTATCATAATCCAGAGTTTTGAGAAGATTGGAGAAACTTAATTTTTCGCCCAAAATGAAAAAAAACGAAAGGGGTAACACTGTCGTTTTTTTTTCGGGTCGAAATTTTGAATTTCGATATCTCAGCTCTGGAAGGGTCTAGAGCCTCCATTTTTGCACTCAGGTCAAAGTCTCACAGCCCTCTATCATAATCCAGAGTTTTGAGAAGATTGGAGAAACTTAATTTTTCGCCCGAAAAATGAAAAACGAAAGGGGTAACACTGTCGTTTTTTTTTCGGGTCGAAATTTTGAATTTTGATATCTCAGCTCTGGAAGGGTCTAGAGCCTCCATTTTTGCACTCAGGTCAAAGTCTCACAGCCCTCTATCATAATCCAGAGTTTTGAGAAGATTGGAGAAACTTAATTTTTCGCCCAAAAATGAAAAAAAACGAAAGGGGTAACACTGTCGTTTTTTTTTTCGGGTCGAAATTTTGAATTTTGATATCTCAGCTCTGGAAGGGTCTAGAGCCTCCATTTTTGCACTCAGGTCAAAGTCTCACAGCCCTCTATCATAATCCAGAGTTTTGAGAAGATTGGAGAAACTTAATTTTTCGCCCAAAAATGAAAAAAAACGAAAGGGGTAACACTGTCGTTTTTTTTTTCGGGTCGAAATTTTGAATTTTGATATCTCAGCTCTGGAAGGGTCTAGAGCCTCCATTTTTGCACTCAGGTCAAAGTCTCACAGCCCTCTATCATAATCCAGAGTTTTGAGAAGATTGGAGAAACTTAATTTTTCGCCCGAAAATGAAAAAAAACGAAAGGGGTAACACTGTCGTTTTTTTTTTCGGGTCGAAATTTTGAATTTCGATATCTCAGCTCTGGAAGGGTCTAGAGCCTCCATTTTTGCACTCAGGTCAAAGTCTCACAGCCCTCTATCATAATCCAGAGTTTTGAGAAGATTGGAGAAACTTAATTTTTCGCCCGAAAATGAAAAAAAACGAAAGGGGTAACACTGTCGTTTTTTTTTCGGGTCGAAATTTTGAATTTTGATATCTCAGCTCTGGAAGGGTCTAGAGCCTCCATTTTTGCACTCAGGTCAAAGTCTCACAGCCCTCTATCATAATCCAGAGTTTTGAGAAGATTGGAGAAACTTAATTTTTCGCCCGAAAATGAAAAAAAACGAAAGGGGTAACACTGTCGTTTTTTTTTTCGGGTCGAAATTTTGAATTTCGATATCTCAGCTCTGGAAGGGTCTAGAGCCTCCATTTTTGCACTCAGGTCAAAGTCTCACAGCCCTCTATCATAATCCAGAGTTTTGAGAAGATTGGAGAAACTTAATTTTTCGCCCGAAAATGAAAAAAAACGAAAGGGGTAACACTGTCGTTTTTTTTTCGGGTCGAAATTTTGAATTTCGATATCTCAGCTCTGGAAGGGTCTAGAGCCTCCATTTTTGCACTCAGGTCAAAGTCTCACAGCCCTCTATCATAATCCAGAGTTTTGAGAAGATTGGAGAAACTTAATTTTTCGCCCGAAAATGAAAAAAACGAAAGGGGTAACACTGTCGTTTTTTTTTTCGGGTCGAAATTTTGAATTTCGATATCTCAGCTCTGGAAGGGTCTAGAGCCTCCATTTTTGCACTCAGGTCAAAGTCTCACAGCCCTCTATCATAATCCAGAGTTTTGAGAAGATTGGAGAAACTTAATTTTTCGCCCGAAAATGAAAAAAAACGAAAGGGGTAACACTGTCGTTTTTTTTTCGGGTCGAAATTTTGAATTTCGATATCTCAGCTCTGGAAGGGTCTAGAGCCTCCATTTTTGCACTCAGGTCAAAGTCTCACAGCCCTCTATCATAATCCAGAGTTTTGAGAAGATTGGAGAAACTTAATTTTTCGCCCGAAAATGAAAAAAAACGAAAGGGGTAACACTGTCGTTTTTTTTTCGGGTCGAAATTTTGAATTTTGATATCTCAGCTCTGGAAGGGTCTAGAGCCTCCATTTTTGCACTCAGGTCAAAGTCTCACAGCCCTCTATCATAATCCAGAGTTTTGAGAAGATTGGAGAAACTTAATTTTTCGCCCGAAAATGAAAAAAAACGAAAGGGGTAACACTGTCGTTTTTTTTTCGGGTCGAAATTTTGAATTTCGATATCTCAGCTCTGGAAGGGTCTAGAGCCTCCATTTTTGCACTCAGGTCAAAGTCTCACAGCCCTCTATCATAATCCAGAGTTTTGAGAAGATTGGAGAAACTTAATTTTTCGCCCGAAAATGAAAAAAAACGAAAGGGGTAACACTGTCGTTTTTTTTTCGGGTCGAAATTTTGAATTTTGATATCTCAGCTCTGGAAGGGTCTAGAGCCTCCATTTTTGCACTCAGGTCAAAGTCTCACAGCCCTCTATCATAATCCAGAGTTTTGAGAAGATTGGAGAAACTTAATTTTTCGCCCGAAAATGAAAAAAAACGAAAGGGGTAACACTGTCGTTTTTTTTTCGGGTCGAAATTTTGAATTTCGATATCTCAGCTCTGGAAGGGTCTAGAGCCTCCATTTTTGCACTCAGGTCAAAGTCTCACAGCCCTCTATCATAATCCAGAGTTTTGAGAAGATTGGAGAAACTTAATTTTTCGCCCGAAAATGAAAAAAAAACGAAAGGGGTAACACTGTCGTTTTTTTTTCGGGTCGAAATTTTGAATTTTGATATCTCAGCTCTGGAAGGGTCTAGAGCCTCCATTTTTGCACTCAGGTCAAAGTCTCACAGCCCTCTATCATAATCCAGAGTTTTGAGAAGATTGGAGAAACTTAATTTTTCGCCCGAAAATGAAAAAAAACGAAAGGGGTAACACTGTCGTTTTTTTTTCGGGTCGAAATTTTGAATTTTGATATCTCAGCTCTGGAAGGGTCTAGAGCCTCCATTTTTGCACTCAGGTCAAAGTCTCACAGCCCTCTATCATAATCCAGAGTTTTGAGAAGATTGGAGAAACTTAATTTTTCGCCCGAAAATGAAAAAAAACGAAAGGGGTAACACTGTCGTTTTTTTTTTCGGGTCGAAATTTTGAATTTTCATATCTCAGCTCTGGAAGGGTCTAGAGCCTCCATTTTTGCACTCAGGTCAAAGTCTCACAGCCCTCTATCATAATCCAGAGTTTTGAGAAGATTGGAGAAACTTAATTTTTCGCCCGAAAATGAAAAAAAACGAAAGGGGTAACACTGTCGTTTTTTTTTCGGGTCGAAATTTTGAATTTTGATATCTCAGCTCTGGAAGGGTCTAGAGCCTCCATTTTTGCACTCAGGTCAAAGTCTCACAGCCCTCTATCATAATCCAGAGTTTTGAGAAGATTGGAGAAACTTAATTTTTCGCCCGAAAATGAAAAAAAACGAAAGGGGTAACACTGTCGTTTTTTTTTCGGGTCGAAATTTTGAATTTCGATATCTCAGCTCTGGAAGGGTCTAGAGCCTCCATTTTTGCACTCAGGTCAAAGTCTCACAGCC